ACTGTTTTTCCTTCATTCTGATCATTATTTTGGAGTTCTTTGAAAGTGACTACATGCTTCTTTGTTTGAATATCACCAATGTTATGAAGCAAAAATCATTGAAAGCTGGATATGCAACCTGCATCTGTTTTTAATTAATCTTTTTTTCTATATGCAACCTGCATCTTTTTTTAATTAATATTTTTTTCTTTGTCTGGTGTGTGTTTCCCCTCTCATAATTCTTTTTCTTGTCATTGACAGATACGGTTTGTGGAGAAAAACAAGCAACGAGGTGCTATTAAATTGTTTCGCACACAATCACCGAGGCATTTTGAAGGAGGGGATTGGGACCAAGGTGGCTCATGTCAGCGGTTACAGCCTTTGTTACCTGAACAAGTGAGTCTCTTTCAGTTACTGCGACTGCTAATTACTCATTGAACACTATAATTGGTTAATCTAAATGGGCGACTTGCATCTTATAATACCTTTCAAATAAAACTCATATCTTATTATATGCTGATTTACTTTAATCATTTTTTAAGGGAAAAAAAAACCTACTTCGGCTCTTGGTTTGTTTCCACTCTGGATCAAGGTTAATGGGTTTAATTGGTTCACCTTTTTTCTTAGGTGGAAGAACTCTTCTCATTGAAGAATAATGGGACAAATTCAGAGGCACGCCTTGTAAATCAACACCTATTCAAGGCCCTCAAGGGGTCTAATTTCCACATCTTAGATATTACCCGTATGAGTGAATTCAGAGCAGATGCCCATCCATCCTCAGCCGGAGGAAAGAAACATGATGACTGCATGCATTGGTGCTTACCGGGAATTACGGATACATGGAATGACCTATTTGTAACACATCTAAACAATCTTAAAATTGGAAACTGATGTACTATTACTAACATTATTTTATTTAATTATTTAACAAAACTGTATTGCTTAAGTTATGTGTTTCTGAAGCAATTTGTTAATTTTGATTCATTTATGGTGATGGGTTTATAGTTAAGCTAATTAGTTACCAATGGCTTTGTTGCCAGAGTCAAATATTCAGGTGCACTTGTTATTATTCTTTTCACCTTTTCCAAGAGTTAGTTTTATTTATTGATGAATTTCATGAAAAAGAAACCAAAGAAGAGAGAGGGTCTAATGCTCAATCTCCTTAGGTAGTTTTACATCATCAAGCTCTTAGTATGTCATAACAAAGGAGGCTAATCGACCTCAACTGTCCATCCCATCTTGTCCTCGATAAGACCAGTTTGAATTCCTGTTAATGTTGCATGCAATTTCTGAGCCACTGTTTCTTCTCCCATTTTGTATTCAATCCTGCATTAATATGATCAATAAGCTTATGCTGCCAATGTATAATGATTGACAGATTATAAATGGTTCTAAGATTTTTCCTTACCTTTTACCCTGGTAGGTTATACTTACAACAGACTTGAGAACCATAGCTGTTCCTGTGCAGAAGACTTCTTCCGCATCAAATACCTCCTCGATTGGAACATTTCGTTCCTCAACCTGATCACCAGAGTTCCTAGGATTGTTATGATTAAATCGGGGCAAACGTTGTTAGTAGTATTTTCTGATTGATCAGTTTACCTGGTAACCAAGAGTTGATGCGATTTCGATGACGCTTTTCCTTGTGATTCCTGGGAGAATAGTCCCATGTACTGTTGGAGTTGAGATAACATTTCCCTGCGGAAAAAGAGTACATAACATGAGACTTTTTGACTTATCATCCCTCTTTGTAAAGTCATGAGTGTTACCTTGAGAATGAAGATGTTGCAGGCAGAACCTTCCTCGATGTTTCTTCCAGTCAATGCATCAAGAAACAAGACTTCAGTGAATCCTTTGGCTTTTGCTTGAGTTAATGCCTTGTAGATCTGCATGTGCAATCAATTAGTATAGTCAAGAAAGCCGCATGCAAACTTTGAAATATTACATGAAAACGAGTTCGTACTGGTGAATAGTTAGGGACAGCTTTGACTCCTCCTGTACCACCAGGAGTAGCACGACAGACCTTGTCTTCAACGACCAAGTTCATAGGACTCTACAAAAACCAGATTATTACATTAACACCCAGATTCCAAAGCCGCCTGATTTCTTTACATTCTGATGAATAATTTTGTGACAGCAGCATACCTTATGATAATTGCCCACAGGGGAAGCATAAGTTAAGAATGTGTACTCGGATGCTGGCTTAACTCCCAGATTTGGGCCAGTTCCCATGAGCAGTGGCCTGATATACAGTGCCCCTCTCCCATGTGGTGGTACCTGTATATATAAATATAAACGTATTCCCAATTTGATTACTACAAAAAAATCTTTAACAAGAACATGAATTCATTTCCTGGTATGGTACTGTCAAGTCTCAAGCTTAATACACACCCATCGCTTGTTGGCCAGGACAGTCATTTTAACAGCATCTATGAATTGCTCAACTGTTGGCGATGGCATGCACATTCTATCCGCACCCATCTTCATCCTCAGGGCATTCTCCTCCGGCCGGAACAGCAGAATTCCCTCATCTTCCTTCCTATACGCTTTCAGTCCCTCGAATAATCCCTGAAACCACCATTTTTTTTTTCACATAAATTTGAGCATCAGGTAACATTGGTTGCTAGCTATACTTGCTACATGATTATCTAGTGATCAGCACTGCTCACCTGGCCATAGTTCAATATTCCAGATGAAGGGCACAGCTCGATGTTTCCAAAACGCGTGAGGATTCCTTCGGAAAAGATTTCTTCGCCTTTAGAGCAATTCATTACGTACATGTAATCAGTTTTAGTTAGAGCAAATCCAAGTTCATCCCAATTGACATTGGCATATTCTGTCTTGCCGCTGCTGTGACAACACAAAGGATTCAAGGTTACAAGATTTGGCAAAAAAAAAAAGAGAAAAACCTGACAGCAATGACATGCAATAAACAACAGACAATGTTAAACGTTAGAACAATTCTTGGGCAATTCATAATGGAAGCCAACATTTCAAGAAGGAAAAATATTTATTAAGATCCTACCATCGCAGCTGCTGTTGAGTAGAACCCATTGGGGAAATCTTAAATTTTAATTTGTTCAAATGCAGAAAATTCAGAGAAAGGGAAGGAGAAATCAAATTAGGGTTGTGAGATTAGTTTGAAGGAGAGTATTAACTGTGAAGGGTTTATATAGAATAAACGCGAAGAAATTGAAATTTGTCGAGGAGAACAAGGCTTTGGTGCAAAGAAAAAAGGTTGCATTTATTGCCAAAGGAAAAAGGACAACAAAAAGGGCTGTGGTGGTTTCAGGCCTAATTAAGGGAGATTCCTTCCACTCTTTTACAGCTAAAATATCTTTAATAAACCAATTTTCCCTTTTATTTTCAATAATTAACTACACGTGGTTCATTGTGCTTAATATGAAAAAAAGAGAGAATATTCTCATCAGCAAATTAGTATTTTTTTTTATGATATAATACCTAAAAAGAGTTTTTAAATTATTTTAAAAAATTCAAAAAATTTAAATTTTTATATTTTTATTTTGAATCAAATAATTACTAATTAAAACATCATATGTTATTTTACATTATGTGATATTAACATGTTATAGTAAATAGTGATGTGACATGTTGACATGATTCACTTCAAATGTTATAATAGATAAACTGTTGATCATAAAAATTTATTTAATTTAAAATAAAAATATAAAATTTTTATTAAACGTAATAAAAAAGTAATGACTTATCAATTTCTTGATGTATAGAATTTTGTGGGATGATTTGTATGGAGTCTGATATTCGAGGCTTTGGTTGTTTTGAGATATGAATAGGGATGCTTCCTGATCTCGACCAACCGGTAGTTGTTTTGCTGAGTTCGATCTTCATTTAGATAGGGGCTCTTGCTGGCTCTCTACTACTAGAATTGGTAATTTTTGTATCTATAATTACTATGAAATCAAAGTTATCTTTCAAAATTTTTTTTTCTTTTAATAGTTCATAAACATTTAAACCATGATTGATTAGATATTGCGTATACAATTATACATATTAATTACTTTTGGTTAATCTGTTTATTAACTTCTAACAATCTATCGATTTTGAATTTTAATTTTAATAAAAACTTTAAAGATCCAAACTTGATTAATTAAAGGATTTCATTTTAAAATAAAAAGGGTACCATCATAGACCACTGTTAAAAACTTATTGTTTTATTTTAATTTTATTATTTCAAATAAGAGATCATGCGTTAATCGTTAAATATTCACGTCCAACCCTGACCAAGCAGCTTTTTGGATTAAACCACGTGATCCTCAAAAACTTAAAACTCAAGTTACTAATAGTAGTAAACTTAAATTGTTTTATAAATCTTAACAATCACATTTACATCAGATATGGGATGCTGGGTATCACATATAATAACCGTTCTCTGTAATAATTTTTACGAGCTCATATGTAATGTAACAAATTAAAAAGGAAGCATCTCGTAAATCATCCTTAAGAATTTACTAATAAATCTAATTAATAAAAAAATGGGATCATTAATCATAGGTAGATTAGGTTTAGCTATAAAGCATATTTATATGCAATGAAATTGTCAAAGTGGTACTATCAATAGTTAATCAATCTAATACATAAAGGAGTGGGACCCAATTAAATTAATGTAGCTTAAGCTTAGCTAGAGCGGCTGCCATGATTCCATTCCAAATGGAAGGCCTAAACCCACGACATTAAGGAGATTTGGTTTGGTCCTATCAATACACAAATTGTACTATATTATATTAATTGTAAGTATTAATCAAAATTATACTAATTATCTCACTGATTAGAATCCCTTTATGGGAACATCTCATCGCGTTGACTAGGAGAATAATTGGCATATTGTCACGCCACATACCTGTAAATGCTGGATTCATAATTTTCCAGTGCAGTCGTGACAGGCCTGGAGTAAGATCTTAGCTGCAAATCAAAAAAATATAAAGAAATTAAGATTTTAATAAATAATTAGGAACATAAATAAAAAAATCTATATAGATGAATTCATTTCCACGCTTGTTTTGATTTCTGATTGATTTGAGGTGAAGAAAAAAAAAGGTCAAATTATGCAATTAATCTTTATATCCTATAAAAAAAAGTGAATTTTTTACATTCATTTTTACAATTGTTTTTCCTTTCAAATAAGATATCGAAAATACCACATTGAAGAGGTGTGTGAAAATCGAATCACTCTAGAGACCTTATTTGAAAGGGAAAAAATACAAAAATTATCAATGTAAAAAATTTTCGAATTAACTGAATTAAACCCATTGATCTAAAAAAATTATCTTACACCCTTTAAGAGCGTAAGACAATTTTTCAAAAACAGATGTTTCACCTACCCCTCCCCTCCTTGACCTATCCCTTGAACTCCTTGAGAAATAGAAGGTTACCAAATAATTTTCAAAGGAAATTTTTTTTTTTTGAAGGTTTGGTATTGACATCAACATGAGAGCAAAATAAGTGACAAATTAGGAAAATTGACCCATAGCAGGCTATTTGGATGATTCTTGTACCTTTTCTTCCTACTAACAATATCCTCTTTGCTTTTCCAAAAAGAAAGAAAGTGACAGAGAAGTCTTAGGTTATGAAAACAAAACTCAGGTTGAAGAAGACATTAACATACCTTTGGCTTTGACTGGAGGCTTTCAATTCTTGAAAGTTGATTCAGATTTCTAGCACAAATGTTTAGACTAAACATGGCTTGCCTACTCAAAGCCATATTGAGCTTTACAAATGAGCTAGAAACTCTCCTGCACAACAAATGACCAATGCAAGTGAGATATATGAATTCTGCATACAAGCTTCTGGTTTTTATAAATTGGAAGAGTTCACAAAGCTTTAGGATTCTCTCAATCAGCCTAACCACGTGCATAATTTTTTAGAACCCTTGGTATCTTTCTTGTCTACAACGTTTTTGATTGCTTTCGTATCTTACTGGGCACATGGCTGCATTGTCATAACCGAACAATGACTTTCTATTCATATAATACTTACACGTGCATTTTTTTTTATATTTGTTTTTACTCTCTGTGATTTGTATTTGATTAAAACATGCATTGGACTAAGGATATCCAACCTGTTTCTAGTACGAATTGCTTACTTTTCTTGTCAAAGAGATTGGATTTTGTTTTAAATTACTTACCTGGCAATAAGAAACACCAGGAAATCTATATATGATATGAATCTTCTACAAGGTCACCTGCAAATTCATCAAAATCTATTAGCGGAACACATGAATTCCACTCTTCAATTTTCTTTTCTTATTAGAAAATTTCTGAAACTTCCCTAGAAAGAGGATGACAAGTCATGTTCTTATATGGGGGGAGAATGGTGTTACCAATTTACGGACTTTGCCCTTCCTGCAAACCATAAAGACCTTGGTTTGTTATTAGCACTATTACTTCCAATTGCTGTCTTGGCCAAACCTTGCAAGCCAATTAAACCCATCACGTTTCTTGGCAACCAGCTAAATTGGGCTGGTGACTTGGTGGGAATTAAATGCTGATGGTATCAGATTTAAGAAGACCGAGAGCTTTGTGAAGAAGCAGGAGAAGTTGGATGCAAATCAATGCATGAAAATTAATACGCCAATGACTTCGGAAAGAAATCGTTAATTATTGCATCCGATTCAGCAGTTACTGTCCTATGAGTTTGGAATAAATGTAAAAGATCTCAGATGTTTTGGAGATTGTTTCAACAAATTGATATTCCATGAGATGTTATTGGAGGTGTCGTTTTTAAAAATGTGTTTAGAGAAATGGAATTACTATGTGTAGATAGTTGATTTTAGTTAATATTTATTTTTTAAAAAAAACAACTAAAATAGGTGGAGCATTACTTTATGTGGAACAATTAATACAAGTAGAACAACTATTTTGTATAAAGTAATAATTTCACACAGATGATAGTGAAAGTAATCCAGAATAGGTGGTAGTGTTCCTGGGTTATTTTCATATTGGGATGTTCCGAAAAATTTGGCTTGGTGGCTCAGATATGGAGGTAGTTAAGAGGTCTCTCTTAACCTTTTCCTGAAGTACAAATATTTTCTGCTTTTTCTTTATTCTCTTATACTTGTTCACGTACATCTTTTTCTCTTATACCTGTTCATGTACAGCTTCCTCTCTTGTACCTGTTCATGTACAACCTTTTCTCTTGTACCCGTTCATATACAGCTTTTCTTTATTAACTCCTACTCGAGAACAAGTTTTATTAAATATAATTATTTCAATGGTCACATAATAAGTTTTAACCGTTACTCAACATTAACTCTCAGTAATGGTTACCTAATATTAAAGCTCTCCTTAATGATATCATTCATTACGCGTATTAAAACTTTTTCTTGTAACTGTTATTTTTGACACTATATATATAGAGTCTTCATAACTTAAAAAGGGAATTTCAGAACTATCAGACTCTGACTCATAGCTTTTCTCTTTAGCCTATTCTCACTCAAAATGCTTATTCTTTTCTTATTCTCTTCCATCTGCCATAGCATTTAGTATTTTAAGAACTGTTCCAATCTTCCTTTTCGTCACCTCAAGTATATCTCTTACTTGTTTGCAATGCTTCCTCTTCTATTCTGATACCATTTACACTATGCTGATACTTTGATAAAAATGCAGGTGAATGGAAGTGAAATATTTGTGGCGTGATGCTGATTTTTTTTTTATCGTAAAACAACCAAGTGTTTGTGTCACGGGGTCATTACCCCTCCCCCATAAACGCGCTTACGGGGGTATGCAGCACACCCGCTTATAAAGAGCCCAAGACCTTCCGTTCTTGTCCGATGTGGGATAGAGGTACTTTTCTCGTGACACTTTCTCTTGTCACGAGGTCATTACCCTCTCTCCCATAAACGTGTTTATGGGGGTGTGCAGCATACCCGCTTATAAAGAGCCCAAGACCTCACGTTTCTGTCTGAGGTGAGATAGAGGCACTTTCCTCGTGACACTGTTTCTCACTCGATTTTGGCAACGTCCTCGTTGCCGTCGGCTACCCTGTCTACCTTGAGTCCCCCTGGGCCCGGGCGCTTGGCGTGAGTTAGATGAGGTTCGGTCCGCTCTGATACCACTTGTCACGAGATCATTACCCTCTACCCCATAAACGCGCTTATAAGGGTGTGCAGCACACCCACTTATAAAGAGCCCAGAACCTCCCGTTCCTGTTTGATGTGTGATAGAGGCACTTTCCTCTTGACATTTGTGGCTGGATGCTTATTGGGTGTTTAGCTTTTGGAATTACTGTGATATTAGGCTTATGTTGAGTTTGGTTTTGATTACTAATAATTAACACCATATTTTTTATTGGTTTTGTCTGCATGTGATTCGTTAAGTATCACCAGTAGCGGATCCGTGATAAGACCAGCCTCGACAACTATCGGGCCATCAAGGAATGCAAGTTGCTGAGCACACAACACGCCAGTAGATCTGGACCACACATGCAGGACCTAACAAGATGGGTCGTACATCAATGAGCCCTGCATCAAAAGGCCGCGTGGATGGAAGTCACTTACTTGAGGCCCACGTACAAGAAGACGATACACATATGAGTGATCTAACCCTCGTGATGCTGTCAAGAAAAGTACTGTAGTCTTACGTTTAGATTAGCTGTATTCTACATTAGTCATAAAATATTTTTTTAATATTATTTTTTTAAAATTTTTTATATTATTTACTTTGTTTGTATTACAAGTAAAATTAAAATTAAATTTTTTTATTTATATTTTGTTATATTTTTACTGGAGTTAGGTGAGTTATTATTATAAATAACCCTTTTAGATTTCATTGTAAGGTATCAAATTGTCACCACAAGAAAAAACACAATAATAATCGACATAAGTTTATTGAATCATAATAAATAATACACTTTATTTCTCGTATATATTTTTCTTTTAGTTTGCGTTTTTGCATCATAATTACAATTACAGTTACGCTTGTTTAGTTTTTATATACGAGATTAAGCGGCGTACGATTCTAAATTAAAGTTTTAAACTTGTGACATCAGTATATACTAATAATGTATATTTATTTGGTGGTTTAATGTCATTATTTTAAAAATAAAAATTGATTTTTGATCAAATTTTGTATTGATTTATGATAATTAACAAGCCAATTTCACTTAACAAAAAAAAAATTAATAAGATTGAACACAACTAAGAATGAGTAAATAAGGAATAATGTATCTTTTCAATCTGATAGATTTATTAAGTGAAGCTGTTAATTAACATGACAGACAGCCTCAGGTGAATCAGTAAAGAGAGAGACAGAGCAGTTTTCAACACTGCATTGCAAAGGGAGAAAGGAGAAGCTCAATCAAGTGCAACAGTCCATCCCTTCCTGTCTTGGATGAGACCCATTTGAATCCCGCCAAGCGTTGCCCGCAGTTTATAACATACGGTTCCTTCTCCTGTCTTGTATTCAGCCCTGCAATCGCGCAGTCACATATACAAAAATTTAGCCAAATTATCCAGATTAAAAAAAAATTTGATGCATGAGAAGAGGAAGAAAAAACAGTGTTTCTCTAGAATTACATGACATCTATACCTTGTATCTTGGTAGGTTATGCTACCAACAGGAGTAACAATCACAACCGTTCCTGTGCAGAACACTTCGTCAGCACTCATCAGATCCTCAACTGGGATATTGCCTTCCTCAACCTGATGCAAAAATCAGCAAAAACAAGACTCTGAAAATATTGTGCTAGAGATTTCTTGCTTGACTAAGAAGCTATAAAACAAAAAAGGATCAATATGCTGAAGTTGAGGGATTTCGTCTTTGGTTAGCTAAGAATTTGCTGGTTGATGAGAGTAAGGATGATCACCTGATATCCCATATCAACAGCCAGTTCCATGATGCTCTTTCGTGTTATTCCGGGCAGAACAGTTCCATTTATTGGAGGAGTTGAAATAACATTGCCCTATATAACATGGAGGACAATCATGGGAAAATAGAGCAATTTACGTCGGGGATGGAAAAGTTTCGCAATAAGAGTCTTGACAAGTAGACTATGTTATACCTTGACAACAAAGACGTTAGATGAAGAAACTTCCTCAATGTATTTTCCAGTTGCTGCATCCAAAAACAAGACATCAGAGAATCCTTTGGCTTTGGCTTGAGATACTGCTTCGAAAACCTATAGCAATTAGCTTAGTCAAATTAGAACTGACTGATCGCAGTCAACGGACAAATCTACCACGGATTTTTAGTTTCTTTGTGGAATTCAAACTTACAGGTGAATAATTGGTGATACTTTTGATGCTTCCAGTTCCACCAGGAGCAGCACGGGGAAGCTTATCCTCAACATACAAGTTTGCAGCGCCGTGATTGGTCTGAGATGCACGTTATACCAAAATCCAGAACTAATTAGGCAATTTTGAGTTAGGATTGGTTGTGTCTTAGGTCCAGATATGAATTCCCAATTTAGAACCTACCAAGTAGTGGTTCCCAATGGGAGTGGCAGATATCATAAAAGTGCATTCAGGAGCAGGAACAAGTCCCAAAACAGGTCCACTTCCCATCAGCAGAGGCCTAAGATACAATGACCCTTTTCCATGCGGAGGCACCTAGTTCCAATCGAAGCACATATTGTGAATGAAAAAACAGAGGACTAACTATGATAGAAGTGATAGCTACTTGAGGAGGGAAGGCTCTTTTTATTACCCAACGCTTGTTGGCAAGGGCAGTTTGCTTTATGGCGTCAATAAATTGCTCAACAGATGGGGATGGCAAGCACATTCTTTGTGCACCCATTTGCAGGCGCTTGGCGTTCTCATCTGGCCGAAAGAGCAAAACTCCACCATTTTCTGTCCTGTATGCCTTTAGACCTTCAATTAATCCCTGATGCCACAACCCGGGATTTGCGTTTTGTCAGGATTAATAGTTTGAGATAAGACTTTCATTACAAGTTAACTTGACAGTGCTCACCTGTCCGTAATTCAGAACTGCAGAGAATGGGCTTATCTCAATGTTACCATAGCAAACAAGCTGTCCTTGTGAAAAGTTCTCCTCGTTAGAGCATTTCATTACGTACATGTAATCTGCCGGAGTTGGAGCAAAACCAAGTTGGTCCCAATTGATGTCAGCATATGTTTCTTCACCATTCTCTCTGCTTCCAAAGGGCCAAAAACTTAGATTAAAGAATTGCTGATAACATTCTAATTTATGTACACAGAGGCTGTAAACAATGGAAAATACCTGGTAACAGATGTGAATGAGACTGGTGCGGGAGCCATAATCTTAGCTGCAATCAAGAGAAAGGATACGT